AATCAATCACTTTCAGTATAATATAATATAAACTTTCAGTATAAATATTTTTTTTTTGTTTTTTTCTACCACTTTTGCCCTATCATCCGTTGTGATATCGGCACATGTTTCGACTAATATAGAAGAAACAGTCCAAAATGTTAAATCCGAGTCATAAAATAAGAAGACAAACACAAAATCACAAAATTACGCACGGTACGCTCCCGAAATGGCGGGAGATTAAAATCACGTAGTGGGTTTTAAAACACAAATTTATGTTGACAAATTAAAAAAAAACTTGTTTTATTAATGATTCATGTAATTTAAGGAATTTTCAAAATAAAAATTTTATTTAACATTAAAAAAAACAAATACATTAAAAAAATTAATGATTCTATTATTTGAATATTTTTACCGATTATTTAAATAGTTTTGCCGATTATTCGCATAACAATGAACTTTAATCATCTAAACATTATGGTAAGGTACATAGCAACATATCGTTGAAACAACATCATGTAAAAAAGTTCATACTGGTTATTTTTTAAATATTTTGCTTTGTTTGAAAGATTCGAATTTAAATTAGTGATAAAAAACTATGCACATTGTAATGAAATATAGATAACTTCATAATTCTTCGGATTTACGTAAAAGGTTATTTTAAATCGTGTGAGTACGCTTGTGCAAAGTTATTGCGGAAAGATTAATGTAAAACGTCAAAAGGTATTTCTTAGATGTGGTTGACTATAAAGTGTACATTTTGGTAATTTAATCGGCAGTTTTTATTGTCACCAACCCCAAGCTCGTAACAATAATACACTCAGCGTCACAAAAATCGCACCTCTCTGAGTTTGCGCGAAAAATGGCTGTAATGGCTAGAAACGAATTATATTTATATATAAATATAATTCGTTTATATATAAATATTGGTATGTTTGAAATGGGTATTTGAATAGCTTTACATTATTAATAAAAAAAAATCATGAAATCATTAAAACATTTATAATTATAGAGCGTCAAAAATAAACACTGCTCGTTAGTAAGGACGCTATAGTTACATCACCTAAAAAGGGTATAAAAGGGTCGATCTGGATGAAATATGGGTCAGTCGTAATTTAGACTTCGCAGTGAACACACGTGAACAAGTAACCCAAGTAAGAACAAGTAAAGATGGACACCAGCTCTGAAGAAGCCGCTCAAGTGATTGCCCTATTGCAGTCGGGAATGCGGCAGTGTGACGTTGCTCGACAGTTGGACCTGTCCCGTTTTTCAGTTCGACGGGTGTTCCAACGTTTTCAACAGACTGACGTTAGAAAACCGCGATCTGGAAGAAAACGGTGCACATCAGAAAGAGATGACCGTTTTATCGTTACGACATCTTTACGAAACCGTTTTACAAATGCTGTTGAGTTGCAACAACAGCTTCGATCAACTCGGAGAACATCTGTGAGTATTTCTACGATAAGAAGAAGGTTACACGAAAAGGGTTTAACAGCCCATAGACCTGCTAAAGGTCCAAAACTTACTGCACAGCATCGCAGAGATCGCCTAGAGTTTGCTCGCAATCATTGCGAGTGGACTCTAGAACAGTGGCGGACCGTACTCTTCTCTGATCAGACGAGGGTCTGTCTCTTCTGCAATGACAGACGTAGAAGGGTCTACAGAAGACAGGGGGAGAGGTTCACACAACCCTGCTTCGAAGGATTCGTCCAATACGGGGGTAGCTCCTGTATGTTTTGGGGCGGCATTTCCGTCGACGGGAAAACGGAACTTGTGTGCGTTTCCCGGACTCGGGGTGGCCGTGGGCAAGGGTCATTAAATGCTGGTCGGTACATTACTGAAATCCTGCAGGAACATGTGGTCCCGTATGCTGGTTATGTCGGTGATGGATTCATGATAATGCTCGTTGCCACACCGCGGCTATTGTACGGGATTATTTACAGGAGCTCGATATACCTGTTATGCATTGGCCAGTACGAAGTCCAGACCTTAACCCAATAGAACATCTCTGGGATGACCTAAAACGGCGCGTGCGAGCTCGAGATCCAGCTCCAACCACTCTTCAAGAGCTCCAAGATGCGGTACTTGAAGAGTGGGAACAAATACCCCAAGAGGCTGTTGCGACCCTTGTAAGGTCCATGAAAGATCGCATGGAAGCCGTTATCAAGGCAAGGGGGGGGGTAACACTAGGTTTTAAGAACTTTTTTTGTATTTATTAAGTTTTTTTTTAAATTATTAATTTGCAAATTTGTACATACCCTGTCTTAATTTCTCTTTCGTCTCGTTATAAAAGTAAAATTCAATTAAAATTCCTGAAAGCTAATGAAATTATCTTTCGAATGATACCCTCAAACCACAACATTGCCATTGGCCTGTTGTGTTAAAATAGTATTTAAATTATTTTTTCGGGTGTGCGATTTTTTTGACGCCGAGCACGCGTTGGCTTTTTATCGGGCTTTCGAGAAGACGATCGCTCCATTTCTAACCTGTGGCAAAATGTTCTATAATGTAATATAACTACGAAATGTTTTTATAGCAATTACTATGGAACCAAAAGCCGTGTTTTGCCCTGAAGTTGTTTAGGAGTGCGTTAGCGAGTTCACTTCACATTTCAATGTTTGTTTGTTTTTGTTGTGTCTATTAAAAATATATGCTTTTTCAAAGATTTTTAGTGTAAATGGGAGGATATTAGTGTTCCTTGTGATGAATATAAGTGTGTTAAAGTGCTAATCGGCGAGGAAAAGGAAAATCTTTAAAAATGAAATTTTAATTCCATAAACAATTCTTCATACTTTAATAGGTACAGGACTCTTTAGTATTAAAGTTTAATTATTCTAGGCGTATTTTAAATGTTTAATAACTCAATACTTATATTACCATATGAGTTAAAAATATCCTTTTGAACTTTAGCATAAAATATGAGATACCTAAGTATAAGTTTAATTTTATAGCAAATAATTTTTACAATCTTTTTTTTAATGTGAAGCCCAAATTTTAATGTAATAAATTAAATGAATACATGTATTGAGGTGTTTAAAGAATATTTACTTTATTCTAGTTCAGTATATAAAAATTTAATAGCGCCATCTACTTAATGCTATAGGTAAAGTCATTTTATCGAACGAAAATTGAATGATTTTCACGGTGGTACAGGAAATGGTGGAAATTTGACACATTTTTCCATACGATGGAACCAATCATTGAAGCAACCATTCCATTCGGAAGTTGGGGTCTCCAAAATAGCCGTTTTGTAGGCGTCCACAGCTTCTTCAGGTGATGAAAATCTCTTTCCACGCAATTTATTCTTTATTTTAGGGAAAGTATAGAAATCATTAGGGCTTAGGTCGGGGCTGTACGGCGGATACGGTACTAATAATTCTATGTTTTCTTGCTCTAAAAACTCTTTTGTTCTGTGTGCGGTGTAAGAACTCGCATTGTCGTGATGGAGGATGATGCGGCGGTTGCAGTTTTCTTTACGGAGTTCAGAAACGACCTGTGGCAAACAAATGATAGCATACCATTCTGCATTAACCGTTCTTTGTCCCTTAAGAGGAATAGTTGTAACATGGCCGGTTTCGGAGACAAATGTGGCCACCATTTTTTTTGCAACACTCCGTGAAAGAACAATTTTTGTTTGTTTTTCATTTTCGAACACCCATACTCGTTACTGGTTTTTTGTTTCGGGTTCGTACGCGTATATCCAGGATTCGTCACCTGATACGATGTTGTATACAGCATTTGAGGATCCTGCGTGGAATCTTTACGAGAGTTCTGACGCACCAAGTAACGCTATAGCCACTTTTTGCTCTTCATAGAGCGAATGCTGTATCCATCGGGAAAACAACTTTTTTACACCTAATTGTTCATGCAAGATTATTTCTATTTCACTCATGCCAATGTCTAAAGTTGCCTGAATTTCGCGGTATGTCACATGTCGATCTTCCTCAATCGGCTTACGCACAGCATCAACATTTTCTTGGGTGACTGCAGTTTTTGGCCGACCTTGACGGGGATCATCACTGAGCTTGACACGTCCACATTGAAATTCAGCAAACCAGCGATAAATTGTGGTTTTGGATGGGGCTTCATCACCAAATGCAGAAATCATCCGGTCAACACACTGTTTTTGTGTTAAACCACTTCGAAAGTCATAATAAATCATCGCTCTTGAATTTACTCGAGTCAATTCCATTTTCTCAACGACTAAACAAGTTTGACAAAACCTTGTGACAAGACCGAGAATCTTTTTTTAAATAAATAATTAGTATTCGATTTTTAAAATCAAGGAGTTTTCAATTAAAAAGATTTTATTACGACAATAACAGTGGAAATATTCCATTCCCGATACGTTTAGTGCAGCCTAGGTGCGTAAAGATGACGCTAGATGACACAAACACGCTATCGGCTAATTTAATATTTATATTACCTTAAGAGTTAAAAATATCATTTTGTACGGTTTATTAAAATTGAAAATTAATAATTATGTAATAAATAGTTATTATTTTATGGTAAAAAATTTGCAATGCTTTATCTTCTCATTATACTATGTCTAATTCCTGTCGTAACCTATTCTTCTAAGCATATAACTTAAACAAAATAATTTCGATGTTTCACATCTGCCAGGCGTCCCTTTTTAATTTTGTACATAGTTTGTTTGTACTTTGTTCATGCTTTTCTTTTTTTCATGTATTGTATTGTATGTAAATATCTTTTTCTTTCGCTCAAGCAAACCCAAACGGCTCCTTTCAAAGCCTCAGAAGCTATTGCAATTGCATATGTCATACAATTTATCTAGCGGTAGTATGCCTTCTGTGTGCTTTGTTAAACACGTCCTTGGCAGCACTGAATATGAAACTAAAGAATGGAGACAGATCAAGATTGGTGTATTTTTATAAAACCGCTAAAAATAACAGAACCATATCATGGGCTTGTTCTAGTTTGGAGCCCTAGCTTCGCCACTGCGTAGTTTGTGTGTAATAAAGAAATTTTAAAATGAAAGAATGATTGCAACTTGTTTTCAGGCAGGGCCATGGACCTCAGGTAGATTGGTGGGCATTAGGTGTGTGTCTCTACGAATTTATGACAGGAGTACCTCCTTTTAATGATGAGACCCCTCAAGCAGTTTTCAAAAACATATTGTCCAGAAGTAAGTTTTTAAACTACACTTATTTTACGTAATGATCAAACGTCATTTATCATAATTAATACTATACTGCGCGGCTGTGCTATTAAATTATGGCGATTTATATTTTGGACCCCACACTACGAACTTCTCTTGTATTGTGGATGCAGCTTACAAATACCCAGACCCGGAACAATTAGTTGTAGACCATGCAAATACTTGTTTCATGTGGGATTCGAATCCGCGGCCCCCAGCGCTGGAACTCATTGTTTAGTCACTGCGCCATGGAGGCGCCAACAGCACCGTGGACTTAACAGCTTATTTTGTTAAATTTAGATATAGAATGGCCAGAAGCAGACGAAGAATTGTCACCTGAAGCAGTAAGCGCTATAGAAGCCCTTCTTACTATGGAACCCACAGAGCGGCCTGCTGCAAAAGAAGTAAGGGTGATGCCATTGTTCCGAAATGTTGACTGGGAGAATCAGCTAAATAAGCAGCCACCATTTGTACCAACACCAGATGATCTGTTTGATACAGGATATTTCCAAGGTATGAATCCATTTTTTTTTGTATAAATTATTCAGGTAGTTCACCATTCACCAACATTCGCTTTCCAAGATTTTGTGTTGAACATTAATGCATTGCAAGTTGCTCTTACCACGGTATGTGGATTTATGAGAACAGAGCGAAGACCACCCAATTGGTAAGGGCTCTTGTGTACTACACGGTACTTTACTATCCGTAATTTTATAAAGGCCCACTGCTGCTTAATCGTTGTCAGTTGTTCGGTCTACATCGAATTTAAATAAACTTAGAAAATAAGAAGAATAACATTATTTCCACATATTACGCGGAAATTATTTTACTCTTTTTAGTTCTTTCAAGTTGTTTTTTTACTTTATATATTTTTAGATTATTGAGTGGACTAAGGAACAACAATTCACAAGCTGAAGGTACGTAGTATAATGAGCATCGCTGACCCATGTGGTAAATTATAGTACGAACGTAGTAGAACGAACTGACGTAACGCGCGTTTTGTTTATTTTAACCCTTAATTTGGCAGGATTTTTTTTTCATTTAGTTACTGTTTTTTTAAATTTATTTTCCTATATTGCGTGTAAGTAAAAGGGGAAAAATATAAAATAAAATAACCAGGCGTGCATTTTTTAGAAATGTTTAGTATAATATAGTATACATATCTTGATGTTCAAAAAAAGATGCGCTTTAAACATTAGTATAATATACTATACATATCTAACTCACAGATCATTTTGGGTGAAAAGTAAAATAAACAATAGGAATGAAAGAAATTATCAAAAGTTAATCATTATGGAAATTATAAAAGCAGCTTCGCTTATTTGGGATAAAACAAAGTCTAAGCTGACATTTGGTACAAAAAACATTTGTTTGCCCTTTTTTACAATAGCGGCAACGCCCATAAGTGGTACCGGCTTGCTCATGGCTAACTTTATCACGACGGATATCATCCGCAGGGGCGGCTTCTTTTCGGTGCAGCAATCTTTTTGGACGAAGATATGCACGGTACTTCAACTGGCAAAGAGGGTCTTCCAAATTTTATAAGTTCTTCGCTGACAATTAGTCTAATTTTTTTTAGCTTCATCGGTTTTTCTTTAAGCCTTTTCATATTTCTTTTATACATTAGTCACGCATTGTTAATGCAAATATCAATCATTTTCTTGATTTCATCTCAGTTCTGTATAAAGCCACCAACATGTCAGCCAAATCCACTCCTCCCATGTGAGCATTATAATGTTTCACAATTTGGGGTAAATTTACCGGTATTTTACGTTTATCAACCTTATCATATCTATTTGTGGTTTATTTTGGGTAGGAGTCGATGTATGAACTCACTAATGTTACACACTTGTTGTCATACCACTTTACGACAGAAATTTGATTTTCGTTGCATACCAATTGAACGAACGCACCTCTTCCTCTTTTTTTTTTAAATTTTGTCATCTATTAGTTGTTTTTCACAGCCTCTAAGTCGATTAGATCTAATAGTTCCAAGACTGAATATTCCATATTTCTGGCGCAGCATTTGTACAAGAGCAAGAGAACTAAAAAAAGTTATCAAAATATACTACGCAAGCCTTGCGTTTAATACTTTTGCATAATGCGATTACAGCTTTAGCCCCCCAACCAAGTAACTTTTCATCATTGTCAAAGTAAATATCTGAGCAACGAAAACTATCTTCGCCGCAATATAAAAAGAAATCATATATGATTCCTGATACTCCCGCTCTTACTAGGTTCTTAAAACCCCATTTGCGTGGTTTTTGAGGGTTGTACTGTTTCTTTTTTTCCAGCTTTACGACCTTTGTACGGTATTGTCATTTCATCAATGCTGAATCTGTTTTCTTCTTCTACTTTTAAGCAATCCTGTCTAATTTTTTCAATAAATGGTCGTATTTTAAAGTATGGGTCTGTATCAGGAACTGTATTATCCACAAAGTGCAAGTATCTGCGTATTTGCTGGTACCTTTTAAGAGTCATTAAATTTGCGATAAATCCACATCTGGTTTTTGACGCCCAATAATCTAGATAAGAATGGAGCAGAAATGATCCCCATCATGAGTTTTATTGATAAAAAATCTCTCATATCATCCTTCGTCACTATAATAGAACGACCGGTTTGTTGCACGGAATATAAATTTGTATTTTGTACTATTTCATCGAGTATGTCCTCGGAAAAGAAATCATAAAAATATTGAAGTGGAGATTTTTTCACAGGAATGTCAGCATTAAAAGAGTCTTCTGAAATTTCAGCACGATGAAGGAATTTAGTATTTTTCCACTCATAAGTAGGTTGCACAATGTTATGTCTATATGTTGTTTTCTTTTTAGTAGGAGCAGGCTGTTGTTGTTTTGTAATCTTTCGTTTTGACAATCTTTTTGCGGGAGATTTTTTTTTACTCACAGCTGACGTTGATGGCGTAGGAAACGGTTCAGAGGGAAGAGATGAAATATTAGACGGAATAGATGGTAAGTCTCCATTCCAGGATGAGCAAGAAGGCATTACTGCAATGGGTGATAACTCTTCTGATAATATCACTTGAATTTCATCCCCAGCATATTTGGTATTCGTTTTTGGCGAAATAGTGTTTTGTAGAATGTGTGGTGATGAATGCTCATATTCAGTATCAGATTCGGGTATAAAACATGGACGACGGATATGGGACGGTGCAGTTTCATCTTCTGAATTTGATTCTTGTGCAAAGAAATTTTGATCAGGGTCAAGAGTGGGTCCAAAATTGTCTTCAGATAATAAGTCCAGTCGCTCTAGGGATGTCAATTGAAGGATTTTCAGAAGATGTGTCTGAAAATACGCAATTTCGAAATAGATGATATTCCTCACCCTCTTCCCCAGAAGATTCACCACTGGCATCAGATCTTCCATGTTCAGGTGGAACCAAAGCGAGAATGCGATGACTCCTTGTTGGGGGTTTACCCTATTAAAAGAAAACACATGCTGTAATCCGCAACCCAAGCAAGAAACAAACGCAAAACATCACACCTAGAATTATGCAGGCGCAATTGTATACTTTAACTCGTTACCTACCGAGAAATGAGACGCAGTGGTACAGTAAAAATATTTTTATCATTATTTGAAAAGGGATTTTTATCTATTTAGTTATTTCATCTCCATCATTATTTAAATGTACACTAAAACAACATTACAAAGATAAAATATTTTAATAAATTAATAAAAAATGTTTAAAATTATATACACACATCAATTAGTTTTACTTTCTAGCTATAACGAAATGTAAAGCCCTCTTTACAAACAGTAAATTTTTTACTTTGTTAAATATAGCAAAATGTTTAGCCCGTTATACCAATATTTATAACTCAACTTTGTTGTGAATAGCGATTTGTATAGCCCGTTATACTAAGGACTTTAATGTTGTCTAACACTCTCGTCAGTGTATAAAACTGCATTTTTTTATTTTAGTTATTATATCTGATTGCCGTTCAATAAAATTTTATGCGAAATCAACACAATTACCGAATAAATAAAAATAAAAGACATAACTTTTCATAGCTGTCCGTTGACGATTCATTTTCAAAAACTTTTATGTGAGAAATATTATGTCACATTGAATGCACAGACAATAAAATACTTTTCTTCAACAGGTAAAATGTTGCCATAGAGTATGCTCAAAACGAAATTTAGTAGTTTTTAAATGCAAAAGCTGTAGATTTTTTTTTTCAAACGTATAATATATTAGACATTGTCAAATTAAGGGTTAAAGGGATGAATTTGCAAAAGCTAAATATAGTGATTATATTGCTTCAAATATTTTTTTAATATAAAACTGTTATTAAATGAATTGCTGCGTTACATGAATTGCTGCGTTACTTACCCTAAATTGAAATATAAAATATACGTACGTACACCAAATATGTACCGTAAGATTTTACGATGTTTATAGGAACCACAGACAATATTATTTAAGAAACAAAAAAACAAAACATATGTGCTGACCTAGAAGTATGAATAATATCAATATTTAAATATTGTTATCACATCTAAATTAAGATTTTGTAAGTTACGCCTTGTGACACTCGGCTCATATCTGAGGTCATTGTCCGTTTTTCTCAATCGATGTGGCACATACTTATAGCACTTAAACTTTTAACAACTAGTTAGATCGTAGCGCTGCAGCTTCTTCCGTTTCGTGTAGATCCGCTTAGATATCTGGTATTAAGCATTAAAAATATTGTAATGCATTACATTGTGAAAATAATGAGTATTTTACTCCAGCCTGCAAAAGTTATGTCATAGTCATAGTCGATATTAAGGCATATTTTGTTGTTTAGGTAATTGATACTCTAAAATTATATAAAACGTCCAAATACATTGAAGACTCGCCGTTGATTCATTATAATTTATACTCGATGATAAAATTCTCAACCATGACTATGATTGTAGCGTTTCGTGCTACAATTTGCCTAAGTGCAACTGAACTGAATGTCAAGACACGTGAATAAGACTAGAGGTTGGTCGTTGCCGAATTTTCGACGGACGAAACGCAACAGTTTTCCCAACGACGAAAACGGTTGCAGAAAACGGTGGTCGTTGCAACTGGTTTGAAGATGGCTTAAAGGACGAAACTTATCTAACATGGAGTAGAATTGCGTTTCCTTCGAGTGAAATGTTGCAGTTTCTTACAACTTTCAACTATTTAAATGTATGAAATGGTTTACTAAATAATTAGTTTTATTGATCGATAAATAATTAGATTTACTTAACGATGGAATGAACTTCCCTTCATACTTTTCCAGGCTTAGGACTGGCTGGGACAGACTTAGCATTACATTATATATATATATATATATATATATATATATATATATATATATATATAATATACATATGACAGTGTCGTTAGTCATTTGGCCACCGGTCATCGGTCTGGGTACCGATTTAAAGTTTTGATGCTAAACGAATAAGTGTTCAGTAGCCTCTATTATTAAATTTTATCAATGACTTATCATTAGTTTATTTAGCAGTAAGTAGATGG